TAATACGGGCCTTAGCGTTCAGCTACAGAAACACTAAAGGATCTTGCACACCTGTCCAAGACCAAGATCACTGACCGCATTAGACCAAAGGCCTTACTGCAACCTCTTATCGCTACAATATTATTTATTTCTCATATTGTTGGAACAATGTTAAAATCTGCTATATTCAGTAGACATAAAGTAGCTTTTTTATTGTACGACGCTTGTAAATGGTTGTAGCATTGAAATAAGAATTCAATAAACACACTGGCAGCCGTCAGCTTGCAGATATTCTATGATAGATAACATAATAATATTTCGCTCACACGATCACCTAATCAAGTTGCATAATATCTCAAAAAATCTGTATTACTTATCTCAAGGAGACTTGCACCAACATTCTTAAGTCAACTGAAGCTAAATCCAGTTCAAAACTTGAATTTATCTATGTCAGCCAATTGAAGTTAATAGAATTATAACGACTTAAATTTGTTTTGATAAACCTTTGGTGCAAATTGACCTCAATGTGTATCAATATGATTTTAATAATAGGAGATTTTTTTTATAATGAAATCGTTGTTTATTTATCTAATCTATTTTTATTGTTACGTTCAGTTGGTTTACGTTCATTTGTATACAATTTAAAATACAATCTTGCAAAGTATATCGACCTAGGAAACATTAACCCTGATAATACAGTTTTGGCTAGTTTCTGAATTAGGGAACCATTTCTCGAGCTTTTTGTATGTAAAAAAAAGCTTAAGTCTAGACTTAATTAGACTAATAGTTACTTGAAATGTAAAATTTTAAGATTATGAGTAAACAATTATTATCTAATTTAATGTGGGTCAGTGGGTGGTGTGCGAGATGCCTAATAGTAAAGGTCGTGGTTAACCCATATTTATTATGTAATAGTTATCAAAAGGTAAAATCATTAATTAATATTCTTTAAAATATTTGTTCGTCATACATAATATCTACCTCTATTGCAGCACAACATGAAAATTAAAAATGTAGGCAAAAAAACAAGTTTAATATTTTTGATTTGTAAATGTAAACGACATAAGATTTTTTCAGGCATAAATAATATATCCAAATATATTACCGAATATAAAATGTACCTGCCCACTGATATACTATGTAGATCAAGTTTGTGGAAAAACCTCTCCGTTTGTTTTGCAAACGCCGAACGCGTGGCGTAGCTTTATTTCGCCATTCAGAATCAACGCACGCGCGGTATGATGGGCCTGGTATTTAGCGATATCGATATTTTCAAAAAGTGGGTACCTTTTTCTAACCACCATAACAATAACCCAATATTATTTTTTTAGGGTTCCGTACCTCAAAAGGAAAAAACGGAACCCTTATAGGATCACTTTGTTGTCCGTCCGTCCGTCTGTCCGTCTGCCAAGACCGTTTTTCTCAGGAACACGTGGAGGTATCAAACTGAAATTCATATCTAATACTCAGATCTACTGTCCCTTGGAGCTGTAAAAAAATCAAACTTCAAAGCCCATGCAATCAAAAGATACAGCCGTTTATGCCGCAAATTTTCGAAACTCGCACGGGAATCAATACCTATAGGAACTTTCCGTGAACTTAGAATCTTGAAATTTAGCATGAAGTAATGCCTTATAGTATAGATAAAGGAAAAATTGCGAAACCCGTTAATTTTTAGTTACATCATATATTAAAAAATATTTTTGAAAATTTTAAAGTTACTACCTCTTTTCTCATGAACGCATAGAGGTATTAAATTGAGTTTGTACGGAACCCTCGGTGCGCGAGTCCGATCCGCACTTATCCGGTTTTTTTTTATATTTCGCAGCAAAATAGGAGGATATATAAAATGTTTTGATAATAGTTAGAAAATATCTTTGAACGTGAGTTTCCTAATTATCGCATAACTTTTAAACTCCTGAACCTTCGTCAAAATCCTTACAGTGGCTATATTGCCCTTTTTTGAAGTGACAGAAAAAATCTGCATTGATTCCAGAATTTGAATATGATGTTGAAGATCTGAATGAGAACATTCAAATAATGGACTGATTCTGATGGTACCAGTACTTATCCCCTTGGCGCTTAAAAATTAATAAATGTTGACGGAAAAAATAATTTTGAACGGATTAAATCTCATGTGAAAGTAAAAACACATGTTTTTGTTTTTCAATATAAAAATCGACTTAGTAACTTTAAAAGCAACTCTATAGTCTGTGCGGAATGAAAATGGGATTTAGATTGGAGGGCGCTGTAGTGCTATATTATTGTAGTGTAGTAGTATTTGTAAGGTTTTACCCCTTTTAGACATGGTTAAATACAAAAACCCCAACAAATCACAACAACAAACAAATTCATATCAATACAAAACTTTTACGTTTTACAGATTGCTGGGTTTAATTGCCAAATAAAATTTTTAATGTTAGTTCCGTTTTTCGCTACGCCCGTTTTAGATAGGGCATAAAAGTTAGTCTTCGGAACCAAATATTTCTTACTCTGCACTTCAAAGTAAATTATAATATTAATTATGTTACTAACATGAATTTGTTCATCGATAACTCTGAGTTTTGCGTTGCGGTCGCACTACGCGAGCGAGGTTCGTAATGGCCGACTCGCGCTCCGGTCGTCGCAACCTTGACCCAGCCCGCGCTGCGTGCGCGCTACAGCCTGATATAAGACTTCTTAACAACCAGTTCAGAGTGCAGAAACTCCATCGCATACGGTTGGCATGGTTCGTGAGGACTTGGAAGAACCTCTTCTGGTTGAAATCTTACAAAAAATCTATAATATGGTTAAAGAATACCATTTTTTCTGACCTCTTTTTTTATGTTACCATAGCCTATCGACATTTTTGATACCAAAAATATCACTCGCACCGTTGCTTACACTTTTTTTTTTTTTTATACGCAGGTAAAAAATCTATTTACAGACGACGGCGCCTTTAAGAGGCACACCGCCGAACGGACCTCATACCTGGCTCCCGCAAGTCTTACGAACCCCCCAGTGGCTGCCCACCGAGTACCCCGCAACTGTTACGGGCGCTTTACGGTATAATATCCGCTAAAAAAGTCCTGCGAATACCCTCTAAGCTGCTTAGCGCGAAGCCGCGGGATCCCCGTTTAGGGATTCTTCCGCGTCACCGTTGCTTACCCTGACCCAATCCCCTACGCCGTGGAACCCTAAAACCTGGCCACACCTGGCCACCCTGACCACAATGGCACGTTAGAAAAAAAGAATAACCTTTTTTCACGGGTGCATAATAATGCACCTGATACATATCCTGCGGATAGGCTGAAGATGGGATTATGTGGGGTGCTCCTGCAGGTGTCCACAAAAGTACCCAATACAAACGCTGAAATATTCTCCCGGTAGGTATGCAGTGACTAGGATTCTGTATAGAAATAGGAATTCACCATGTCACCCCACAACACGTGCGGGGGGGATGCCCAAGCATACTGGAGTAACCTATCCAATGAGACCAGGCTTCACGATTCGGACGACGACAATGAACTTTCTGACACTATCATTTCTGTAAAATGGAGTTTAGGGTGCTTTATTTCTAGATAGGTAGACCTTGTATCGCAGAACTTTTAATGTCTTAATATTATTATGCAAATCAGCGGATGGCATAAACTTCATTTCGCAGAAATTCATTTGCATTCACTCATTTGCTAACATTCAAAGCCAATATCATCTTAAGGCTTACATTAAATATAAAATAATTTAAAAGTAGAACCATCATATCGCAGAAAGTTTAACAAAAAATAAACATTTTCTTATTTATTTATCTATGGTGACTGGCGCTTCGCTGGCGCTGCCGCGGCATTCTCGCTTCGCTCGCTTGGCTCGCGCTTAGATTAGATCCCAACCACAAATAGCGATTATGCTTAGCGAAATTAAGCAGAATAAAAAGATGGCAGATCTTTTAATTATGCTATTGTGAATTCGGACATATAAACAATCAGCCAATTAATAATTACACTTACTAAAAAACATGCCTTACAAATATTCGATTAAAGAAGATGTATTCCAAGTGTGTTATCGTCTGCTAATTCAGAGACCATAAAGCGCTTTTTTCTAGGGTTCCGTACTCAAAGAGTAAAAACGGGGCCAAATTACTAAGACTCCACTGTCCGTCTGTCTGCCTGTCTGTCACCAAGCTGTATGATGAACCGTGATAGATAGACAGTTGAAGTTTCCACAGATGATGTATTTCAGTTACCGCTATAACAACAAATACTAAAAACAGAATAAAATAAACAGTTAAGCTTGCCCATAGCAAAAAAAAAATATTTTTGCCCTTTTTTGCTCTATATTAATAACGGCAACAGATAGACGCTTGGATTATTCAGAATAATTGAGGAGCTGGCGAACAAAACGGTATATAGTTACATAAAATTTAATTTTACAGGAGCTGTATCAAAACTTAATGACATACCTCCAGTGAGCTTTTGGGATGCTTTTTAATTTATATATTGAGTAATTTTAACACTGTTTGTGGTAGTGGTTTTAAATGAAAATTATTTGAGATTCAAATTCAACAGGCCCAAAACTTGCAGACTATAAATAAAAAGTAGTTTGACCAGATGCCTAAATATATCCTTTTTTCGCCAGCTCCTCAATTAGTTGTTCACTTTATAATCACACTAATATTATAAAGGCGAAAGTTTGTGAGTGTGTGAGTGTGTATGTTTGTTACTTCTTCACGTCTAAACGGCTTGAGCGATTTTAATAAAAAGTGGTATTGAGTTAGCTGACACCCTGGAATAACACATAGGCTACGTTTTACTGCGGGAAAATATCTCTAATAAACAGCGGGTAACACCGCGGGGCACAGCTAGTAAATAATAAAAATAAAATAAATATTTAAGAGGGGCTCCCATGCAACAGAATTAATTTTTTTACCGTGTTTTACTCGATATTATAATTTAGTGTCTAATGTTGTGTAGATAATGTTACGGAACCTTTCGTGCGCGAGTCGCCCTCGCACATGATCAGTTTTTGCAATGCTGTAACACACTTACTTGACACTGGCCGTGTGTGCTGTCCCGTTAGTAACAGCGCTCATCTCCTCTGCGTCCTTTCTCTTCATAGTGGCTCTTGCTCCTGCACAAAAAAATAAACGAATTAAAAAGCAGTTCGTGTTTAAAAACTGTTTTGATATCTGTATAGCAGACGTTGAAATGTCTGTACATTTTGTAAGTTTATAAAAATAGTATTATTTTAACTTGATAGGTACTATAAGGAAAACTAGTGTTGGCTTGCCAGCACTCTGATGTTTCAGGTTGGCAAAGTATTAAAATATGATAAAATGCGATGTATCAATGTTTAAATAAATAAAAATAAATTTCTCGTCGTGGTTCTCATTTAAACCAAACCAAGGGGACATAATTCACACAAAAATAACATTGTAAGCCCAGCACTTTCGAAAAACAATTGGGAAAAATTAAAAAGAAGTGAATTATAAAATTCTAATTCTATGTTGTAACTTCTATTTGTAAGATTTACTTTTAGAATAGTTGAACTAATAATTACATTAATCTAATATCTTTCTAAAGATTTCTCAATGAGAGTTAATAGGCTTTAGTTAACATTCGCTAAAATTTTTGGACAATGGCCACATCTACTTCAGTTTAAAGGTGTTTTGTGTAGCTGAAACTACTGATTGGACTACATATTTATCATCATCATTACAGTCTATTAATGTCCCCACTGCTGGGGCACAGGGGTTCCCTATGGTTGGAATAGGGAGACTGAGCCCTGGGGGCCAATCGCCTAACGGAAATGCTTTGGGAAACGCTAACGCTTACGATTTTATATTGTTATTTCTAGCCGCCTGAGGTTTTCGAATACTTCACGCTCATTTTTTTTAATATTGTTATTACCAATGCAAAAGAAAAAGAAAGAGCGCGAGGCATTTGAATACCTCAGGCGGCTAGAAATAACAAAATAAAATCGTAAGCGTTAGCGTTTTCCAAAGCATTTCCGTTAGGCGATTGGCCCCCTGGCCCACCACGCGGACCCAGTGTGGATTAGTGGATACTAATGATTGCAGATGCAGCCGGGACCAACGTCTTCACGTGCCTTCCGATGCACGAAGGAGCTCGAGATAATTAGTTTTTGGTCACCCATCCAATGACCGACCATCGCGAAAGTTACTTAACTTCCACGATCGCAGGCCGAACGTCTTAACCACCTGCGCCATCGAGCTCCTCGGAACACTATTACACTGACACAAATAGAAAGTTGTATTTGTAGCGATTATCGATTGGTGTCGTGTCTCTGATTAATTTATTGACGTTGATTAACGCCGTCTTTGATTTAATCAGTCGATACAAAACCGCTGTTTTATATAACAGTTTAAAACTATTGCCACAGAACAGTCATTACATTAGTAATTATATCTCTGCAGTACTAAATCTCAGGCCAGACCTACTTATTTTAATCTTGTAACGTCATTTGTCATCAGTTAGGTACTGATCTGAGTATTTACAGTGACGAACAGAAATCGGTAATTTTCGTAGTAAAAACGATAAAAGTTGTTGACATAACAATATACGACAACTCCCATAGCTGAGTGGGATGGCTCAAAACTGGCTTCGATTCCCGGCCGAGTCTAATCGGCTTAACAAAATAATTGGGAATACAACCCATTATTGATTCACTAAATTCATAATTTAATGTTTGGTACCTTGATGACGGAACTTACGCTGGCGATATTTCAGATTTGCACGTTATTATTGACAAATTCAAAAATATTGGCCTAGATCTAAATTATTCCAAATGCGAGTTATTCATTCCTGAATCAAAATTTTCACCAGATCAGTTACAAAACATTATTACCATCGGTTTTAGCTCCTAATATTAATATTCTTGACAGTAAATCACTTCGTCTTCTTGGTTCCCCCATCTTTGACGATGCTATCCCGATTTGTATTGATGAACAAATTTACAAATTTCAGCAGTCCTCCGAAAAAATGTTAAAAATCAATCCTCACATGGTTTTGTATTTAATTCGCCTTTGCGCTTTTGCCCTAAAATGTATATATTTACCTTTTACGTAGTACTCATTTTTGGCTTTTCCAGGGCTACTGTCATCTAATTGACAATTCGCTCAGGGGGACACTTTCCAAAATTCTAAATTGTTCATTTGCAGAAAACGCTTAGAAACAGCGCTCTCTTCCTGTTCGTTTAGGAGGACTTGGTACTCGCCATATTTCACATATTGCCCTTCCCGCTTTTCTGTCTTCTGCACATGGTACAGCCGAACTCTTTAATAAAATACTATGTCCTTCTTTAGCGTTTAGTGGAGCTGGCTCACCTTGCAGAAGCCAGGAATGCTTGGTGTAGGGCATGCTCGGGAGTAGATCCACCATCCTCCTTATTTTCACAGAGGCAATGGGATGAACCACCCTGTTCGCGTCTTCAGAGTGATCTTTTAGCTTTCTCTGAAAACGCAGCTGAGCGTGCTCCCCCCTCGGTCTTTCAGGTAGTCTGGTTGCTGGCTGCAAGCTTTTCCTTCAGCCAATATCGGGACTTTGCTTGACAGGAGCACTCTGTCACTTACCATTTCACTTAGACTCGGCGTCAAGACCATTCAATCCCATCGTTGTCGTTGCGGAACTCGCGTCGGTGAGTTTGGACACCATGGTCTCTCATGCCCAATGAGCGCTGGTCGAGTCTCCCGCCACGCCTGCATCAATGACGTCATCAGGTTCTAGTCTAGAGTCTAGTGGCATCTTCTGAGACGATGGCAAGAGACTAGACGGAATAACGCTCATTCCTTTCGACGCTCGCTCTAAGCAGGGTCGTCCTACATATTCGTGCCGTTTGGTGTTGAGACTATGGGAACATGGGGTCCAAGCGCTCCTTTTTTAAGTAATTATCCAAGAAAGTCACCGAGGTGAATGGTGACCAAAAGGCTGGCAGCTACCTTGGTCAACGGATCAGCCTTGCTATCCAACAAGGAAATGCTACCAGCCTATTGGGCACCATTCCTGACGGCGGTATATACGGTGACAGTGTTTTTTTTTTATTTTGTAAATTTGTATTTATTTAAGTAGGTAAGTTTTAAGATAATTATATTTTTAAGTTTTCAGACATTAAGTAGTTTTAAGCTTTTGTTATTTAAATATTTTTATGTGATAACTAAATAAATATATACTTATATGTCGTATTTATAGATTTATCCATACATAAAATATATATAAACAATCTCGATAACTTAAGTTGTTGATAAAGTTTGTCGTGAACTGGAGGACGTTTTTTGACCATGTATATAACGTGACCACGAAAGTTGCTTGTTCTTGATTGTTAGAATGTTTTTAAGATTAACTTATTGATCATTTATTTGTACCACACCGACGAGCAGCATGTTCGTTCTCCAGAGATCCAAAGATTTGGCGCGGCCAAAAGTTGTAACTACATGTCACGACTATTCCAAGAATAAGACACGCACTCACAAAATTGATAAAACGTGTGATAATGACATAATTTTTTTAATCGATTTTCAAAGTTTTACTTGTTGGTATCACAAAATGGAGCATGTATTAAATAGTTAAAAAAAAGTTGTGGCAGAATATCAGCGACTTCCGATAAAACGGCGGTCTAAGGCTCTAAGGCAGCTATACTCTAAGTGTGTTCCGCGGAACCCTAGGGTTCCGTGATACCTCTGTCGGGGTTCCGCAAGAATTTAGAAATAAAAAAATCAAAACACCTCTCTCTGGTCGCTCCGCGGCTGTGCGGACTCCGCGGCCGCGCGGAGACAAAACGCTATGAATGTTATTTATTTATTTATTTGTATTTGTATAAGCTTGTGTTACATTAGCTGGTACAATATCTCATAAGTTTGGTCTCAACAATTTTATACTTGTACAACGCGTTCGCTCTAAGTTTGCCGGTCTGTGGAATGCGCGTACCCTCCCCCACGTGACAACAAAACTTATAATGTGTCATAGTTTTACCCAAATATCTAACGTACACAATTTTTATTGTTACAATTAAATAAAAAATTTCGAACGTCATACACTCATACCTATCGCCAGCGGCAAACTTAAAACGAGCGGGTAGTATACTTGTAAGCGCTCAGTCTCTTTGATAAAAGCCGCCTCTGAATTAGACGCTATAGTTGTCAACTAGCGACTTTCGTCTCTAACTTCAAAGGATAAAGTCGATATTGTTTACAACGCTATTTTTAAATTTCTGTTTTTATTTTTGCTTTTTGTTTATCAAAGGTGCCGACTCGAGTATTTTCGAGAATATTTGAGATCGAGTCTAGGACTAAGTATAAAAGCGGCGATCGCGCGTTGGCGTCGTCAGTTGATGATTAGCGTTCGGAGCGATAAGTTACTACCTACTTACAAGCTCGCTAGCGAGAAACTGGTGTTCATTGTTTTACTGCCTGCTGTATTCTGTTGTCTCAGTTTTATACATTTCTTCCCTGTAGGTTCTAAATTTAGTCTCTTATACGCAGTAACGATTGTGCATTATTTAAACCCCACTATCCTGACTTGTAACATTATAAATAAAGAAGAATGGAACGTTGGCTTAAAGGTGTTAAACGTGTTCCAACAACATCTTCTAATGACGCTGAATGTTCAAAAGCAATGCGCGCGGAGAATTTAGCAATCACCGATCCAGAAGATGATGCCACGAGTGCCACGACGTCAAGCTCGACGGTTTCAAAGACGAAAAAAAGGAAGTATGATGAATCTTATATCAGTTTCGGATTTGTTGATTCCAACGGCTCACCTCTCTGCATGCTCTGTAGTAAACTGCTTCCTAATAGTTCCATGGCACCTGCCAAATTGCGTCGACATTTAGAAACCGTACACCCCGAGACTAAAGACAAGAATAAAGAATTTTTTGTTCGCAAAAAAGATCAGTTATTAGAAAGTCAAAAAAATATGATGCATGTAACACAAACTACCAACGAAAAGGCCACGGAGGCATCATACTTAGTTAGCTATCGCATTGCACAAGCAGGTGAAGCGCACACTATCGCTGAGAAATTAATAAAACCATGTGTATTAGACATAACAAAATGTATGCTTGATGAAAAATCTGCAAAGCATCTTTCTACTGTTCCGCTATCAAACGATACTGTT